ATGACCTTTTGAATATGAGTCAATTTAACACCTAATCTATAACTAAGCCTACGTTGGGTAAAAAAAGCACAATAGTCATCTATACAATATATAAAAAGATTCCATCCTAAAATTGTCCGTACATACAAAAAAAATTGAACACCAAACCTCATTACCATCTTAACTAGAAATAAATTACTTCCACCGTCCCCAAATATTTTTCCCACAGAAATTAAGTTTTTATGGAAAAGTAGTGAAAGTACATTAGAAAAGATAAAACTCAATAATTTGTAAGGAAAGTAGGGAGAGAATGTAAAAAAGTACATTAGTAAAAATAAAACCCCAATTATTATTGCAAAAGTATGTACTCGTAGTAAAGTAAGAAAAAGTACATAGGGAAAGATAAACTTTAATTATAATTTAAGATGGAAAAAGTGAAATAAGAACATTTATGTTTTTAGGGCACTAAAAATAGCAAATGGGAAAATTATTTGGAGACAATGGGACCTCCATCCCCTTTTGATAGTCCTTATAGACAAATTTTAGTCCCAAAATGTTCACCTTATTAGCTTTTTCCAACAACCATTAATATTAATTTTGTACCAGAATTCCCTCCAATTTGCTACAATACTTTTGCAAATTTAAATTTCTCATGTAAATTCTGTTTTCCCATGTACTTTTATTAATTTTCTCAACACTTTTGTGCATACCCAATGCAATTTACTTTTTCAATGTACTTTTACTATTCTTATTTGTGTTTATTAATTTTCGTGAAAATTGCCCATAAGAGACTATCAAAAGGGGACGGAAGGAGTATTAATCAACATTTATATATAAAAATACATGCAAGTATTATAATATACGAAATACAACAAAGTCAAACTAAAAATCCAAATTATGTTGTGGTCATTTTATTCTAATTTACTTACATTTAAAAAAAAAAAAAATCAACAAAACTAATGAAAGTGCCACATATTAGTTTTTAATCAGAAAATCGAAAAGGGGGGCAATGAGAGATTTCACAATAAACCAGTAAAATTTACGGAATATTTTGTAATTTATGAACACTATGCAATTAACTAAACATTTACGAGGGAAGTTATTTCCAATTGATGTAGCCAAGGAGTCAAGGGCAATGATTTGACTATCCATCGAATGATAATAACGACGTGCCATTAATACTAGTAAACTATAATCCATACTTAAATTAGACTCTTCAATTTTTATTAAAATTAAAACCTATGGAGTTTTTTTTTCTATCCCCAACAATTTTACAAGCTATAATATATATTCACATTCCACTTCCTCTAATCATCAATTTTCATATCACTTAAACCAATTGATAGCTTAATTGCCATTTGTGCTTTCTAAATTTTTTATAAAAAAAAAGATTTAGAATGGAATTTGATCGAATCAGCAACTTGCCACTGGATTTAACATACAAAATCCTAGAATGCCTATCCTTACAAGAAGCCGCTAAGACAAGTGTATTGTCGAAATATTGGAGATTTAAATGGGCGTCGACTCCACAGCTTATACTAGATATGCCATTTTTTAATAGCATCCATAAAAAAAAATGAATATGTGGACATTTCATCGACATACTCTAATGCTGTCAACAACATACTTCTTAATCGTGTTGAGCCGATTTCGAAGTTTATGCTTTATATTCCCTATTGGTTTCCAAGAGAAACATACAAGTGGGTAAGGTATGTTTATGCTAACGACGTCAAGGAACTCACTCTCAAGTATTCTTCCAATCTGAGAAAGAATTTGCCTGAATGTTTGTTCACATGTTCGGGCTTGACTCAATTGACTCTCATCCAATGCACACTCCTCTCTCTTCCTACATCTTTTAAGGGCTTTCCATGCCTTATTTATCTTTATTTGGAAGCCCGCTATGGTCTAGACAAAACTTGTGTAGATGCAAATGTGCTAGAAACTCTTATTTCAAAATGCCCAAAACTTGAGATCCTCCGACTTGTGATTTCTGAAAACGGATGTTTGACAATTCATGCTCCAAAACTAAAGAAATTGTTTGTGAGTGGTTACCTTGATAGTTTACGCTTGAAAGGAACTACGGCTTTGAACACACTAGGCCTGGCTATTGACTTAGCTTTCGGCAGGAATGAGATCTTCAATTGCTTTGCCAACATTGAGAATCTCGTTCTAATAGGCTCTTTTGGGGTGGTAAGTAAACTGAACTTAAGGTTATAACAGTACATATTGTAGCGACCTATATCATTCACTTTTGTGAACTGTTGGTTTTGCAGGAATTCATTATTCAATACATGTGTACTAAAACAATTCCGAAAGAATTTGGACAGTTGCGAACTTTGAATTTGGAATGTATACAACTAAATTCTTACAACATGTCGTTTGTTCTGAACTTGCTTACAAGCTCCTCACTGTTGGAGAGACTATCCATTAACGTAAGTTGTAACAGTTATTACTCATATGATCTGTTCACTGTGTTGTTAATTTCAATGTGACATTTGATTATTTAACTCTTGATGACTTTTATTATTTTTCTCTGTTTTTATAAATAGGCTAAAGAAAATACAAAAGTAATTGATGATCACTCACTTCAGATTGAATGCTGTTACATCCTTGAGTGCCTTAGATATGCACAACTCCTTGATATCTCTGGGTCGAGTGGCAAGTTACAGCTATTGAAATATATTCTAGCCCATTCTCCTGTCCTAGAGGAAATGACTATTGAGCTCAGTACAAATCTACGCACTAAAGAGAAATTCAAATTTGCAACAGAGGCAATGAGGTATCGTCGAGCCTCACCAAATGCAGAGATAATAATCAAGGCTGAGTAATGTCTTCAATAGATATTTGTTCTGTACTGTCCTATTTAGACAACTCTAAAAAATTATATTTCTGATTGTAATTCTGCTGTTTCTTTTACCTGTTACATTTGGACTTTTACATAATTCTGATATTCTGCCTTCCCCAAGTTTGATAATTTAATAGTCAATGTGATGATTGTAATCCTGTTATATTCTTAACAATGTCATAAAATAAAATTGTTATGATATCGTAATTAAAGATATATATGATCAGAATAATATATTGGAAAGTATATAAGAATTGTTGCAACTAAAAAGAAATTGAAAAAAAATTAAATTACTACCTTCGTTATATAGAATTTGAATTCCATTAAAGCTGATGAAGTCTTAAACTGTGTATGACAAATCATAGTTTGAAATATTAAAATACATAAAACATAAAATTAGTAGATCAACTTGGAGTAACATCCTTGTTATATTCTCCATAACATGCATCTTTTCTTATACTACGCAGTACGCACCTTATTGAGTTGTAGTCTCAGGGCTTCAGAATAATCTCTGCATTTGGCGAAGCTCGGCCATATCGCATCAACTCCTTTGCTATTTCTAACTTTTCTTCAGCGGATAAAGTCTCACTAAGCACAATAGTCATTACCTCAAGAGCGGGAGAGCATGCGAGTAGAAGTTTTATCAGCTCTAACTCCACACTCGCCTTAAAGACAAATTCAACATGTTTAAGACAGGGAAGTGTGAAGTTTCCCTTGTTCTGAACACTCTTCTTCAGAGAACATATCTCACATGATGTAGCCTGAATGTTTTAAGTATTTATTTAAGTAACAAAGGTTAGCTTACTCAGAACTCAAGTAAGATTTAAATAAGTATTTAAGTATGTTAAAAAAAACAGGTGAGCATGATATAAGCTTTGAGGACACTTACATTGATGAATAGCTGTTGTAAATGAGGAGAGCTTCGAAATAAGCAGAGGATAAAAGGGACTGCGTAATTGCAATCCAATGGTACTTCCAAAAGTTTAAGAATTTGTTAAGCTTCCAATTCTTTTCCGAACTTTTTAGGATGTACAAGATCATAGTAACGTTTACATTTCTGCTGCAAAAGAATAACATCTACAAATAAGGACAAAGGAAACAATAGCAAAGACTTGTTTTCCAAAATCAACAGCAAATTAAGTCTTTAAAATCATATTTACCCAGGGTAGCCAGAAAATTTTGTCAAGAACAAGCATCTGACAACTGAGCAAGCAACCGAAGAGTTCTCTCATGCTGCTCTTCAATCCAGCAACATTCAAAAGTACCGCATCCACTGCTATACTTTTTATGTTTCTAGTTGCTTTCAGGGATAGACTACAGATGATGCCTTTCAAAACTAGTTCTTGAAGTTCTGGAGCACAAATTGTTAAGCCAAGCATCTTGATACATAATTTAAGGTACTGTAGTCGTGAGCAAAGGGAAATAAGATTTTCCAACATCTGTGCCTCTAAAGCTTTAAGGGGTAATTCCAAGTTTCTCTTCTTGATAAACAAGAAGCGTTTCTCATGAGGGTAAATTTGGAATTACCTATTGACGGAGTGAACCTACCGTTACCCCCTTGTTCAACTTACCCCCTTTTGCAATTTACCACTGTCGTGAGTACTGCCCAGAATTAATTAGTTCCCACCTCCGCCGATAAATCGTCGAAAGCGGGAGACTGCTAACAGTAGGAATAAGCTTCAATGGAGGGAATTGATTCTAAAAGGAGGAATTCGAACTCGATGACAGCTTCAATGGAGGAATTATTCAAGTTCGATGACAGCTAGCGTCAATGGAGGAAGGTAACCCTTACCCTTTGGGGTTAACCATGCCATAAATTTTACCCTTTCTTATTGGGTTTTTCGTTTGATTTTGGCGGCGAAGCCGCCTATGTTCGCCGCCGATAATGGTGGTTGTCCCCGGTGTAGACGAAAGAGGAAGATGATGGGGTGACGGTGGAGACGAAAGAGGAAGATGGTGAGGTGACGGTGGGGACGAAAGAAGATGGTGGAGGTGTTTGTTGTCGGTGGAGGTGGAGATGAAGGCAAGCTGAAATGGAACGCCGCTAACGTTACACCATGTAATGGCTTCTTCAGTTGTCCACGTGACTTCCTCAATGGAACTCACATTCAGCATTTATTCATCTAAAAATCCATTTATTTACAATTCCCTAGGCGTTTTTATTACACATTTGCCACTAGAGAAACACTTCTTGTTTATCAAGAAGAGAAATTGGGGCGCCCCCAGCTTTAAGTGGTACTTTATTGTGCACTTCTAGTTCCATGAATTTAAGGTGAGGAAATCCTTTGAATGTTGGAGGCAGATTTAGATCATGGCAATTGTAGAGTGTCAACTGCGTCAAGGTCTCAAAAGAATACAGACAAGAAGGCAGCTTTGGTGATAGACTGTGATTATTGTTAACCAGAGCAAATTCTTTGATGCCATGACGAGAAACAAATTGTAACCATTGACTTAAGTCTGCTTTTAATGGAAACCAAGAGGGCATAAAAAGAACAAATTTATCAATACGGCCAATGTGACGAAGTAAAATATTGCTAATGATATCTGAATATGCTTGTGAAGCCTCAGAAATTCGATTTATAAACCTCTTCAAGACATATTCAAAGAACTTTTGGTCAAGTGTTATATGTGGAAGCATAACCCATTTATACCTCCAATATCTGGATAAGATGCTCATCCTCACAGCATGATGAAAAGGTAAGTGTTCTAGTATATACTCTGTTACTTCTAGCGGCAAATTGCTGATAATATCATTGCTCTCCTTGCAAAGCTGCTTGCTGTTTCCTGCAACATAAATATCAAGTATATCAGCATTCAGCAAATCAAGTACTAAAAGAAATTGCTAAACTGCTCCTTCTTCATAAGAAATCATTTAGCAAATCACAGATATTGTAATTTACAGTTTGACAGTACTAATACGCACTATAAACTCCACATAAATCAGGCCAATCATTGAGGACTATGAGGAGGCAATAATCTAACAGGTGCACAGAGATTTTACGCCCAAGTCTTAATTATTGAGTGATTTACCACCTACAGATCTAAAGTACATCACACATTCACACATGGCATACCCGTAGGGCAGTACAAATACATCCTATTCTGCCTTAGTTTAGAGGTGATCAATGGGCAGGGCGGGCCGGGCCGGGCCGGGCCAAGAGCAAAAAAATAAGTCATTCTTGGGGCCGGGACAGAATATATGTGCCCAAACTACCCGGACCGTACAGGCTTTTTGGGCCCGGTAAAAAAAAAAAACTAAAACTGCATTGAATTGATTTCCCTAGTCCACCCAATTTTTAAAAAAATTTCGGGCCAGGCCATTTCGGGCGGAAAAAAACTTTCCAAAACCCGCCAAAATCAGGTTGCGCTCTACTTGATCAGGTCTAAAACATAAACTTAAATGTACATAGTATGTAACACATGGTTAAAACATATACTTGAATGTACGTAGCACATAATTTAACAATAATTTTGGGTGAACTCAAAAGTTGATTTTTATTTGTTAATGTAAGACTTCTTGATTAAAACATAGATCAGGGTGTATAAAATGATTCCCAATTTGGGTATACCTAATAAGTTATGTTTGGGCATACCTAAAACACAGTGGTTCAATACTTTTTTTAAACAAAATACAGAAATATAAAGTTATTTCAAATAAACAAATCCGTTTTTAGCACTCTTGACTAGATTTATTACAGCTCTATCTAATCAAGGTCTCATTAGCTTAATAACGGTTCTTATTCAAATAAAAAGACTTATTTTAAATGCTAAAAATAGTTGCTTGGCTAACATTATTACCTATTACATAACGATCCTTGTTTAGATTGAGATCCACTTATCTTAAATTTATTTAGGGATATGCGAAAATATATATCGTACTTATTATTGAATGTAAGTATGTAGTATGTAACAAAGAACAAAATTAGGCGGTCCCAAACAACAGCTAGTTAGTCCCAAAATAAATCGCTAAAGATTAGTTTGATTTTAATCGAATGATAGTTTTCAAAATTGATACACACAAGAATCCTATCAATTTCGATTATTAGTCTAATTGTTCGCAACGGATTAATCTTGTATAGGAGAAAACTCACCACCCCTACAACAGAAATAAATTTTCTTTTAGATAACCCAATTGGATTTTAGGCATACCCAACATTCGAATGTAATAATTAGTCAATCAGGACGATTGACAAAGATAAGAATTGAATAACACATAGGGCATGTTCCGATTTATTGAATACAACTCGATTGAACTCAACTGAACTGAATTTAATGGAGCTGAACAAAACACACCCATAGATTACGATATTAAATATTTCCCAAATTTGGGTATACTTAAGTTATATTTGGATGTACAAAAAACGAAGTGGTTTAATTCTTTCCTTTTCTTTTTCTTTCTTTAATTTTTTTTACAAATTATAGAAATATATGAATATTTTGTATAATCACATCCATTATAGTACTCTTGACTAGATTTAATGTCACTCTATCCAACCAAGATCTAATTTGTATAATCATGGTTCTTATTATTAAAGTAGAAATCCCAAATTAAATTTAAATACGGGAAATAGTTACTCGCTAAAAACATTACCTTACACAACGATCCTTGTATAGATTGAGATTTTAAATTGGAGTAAATATTAAAAAAAAAATCATATGTAAACTTAACTACTTAAAGGATAATTTGCATAATACAAAAGTTAATTAGGCACCAACATTTTCACTATATCATATACGAAAGTGGTATAAAAAATGTTAAAAAATGAGAAAATTTATAATTGAATTGTCAAAATTAATAATTCATGTATTTAAAATTCTATATATGAGAAATTCAAAAATTCTATTATAAATGTCGCATACTGCTGTGTACCACTAAAGCAGCGTACTGCAGCATAGAGCTGTCAAATCGGGTATTCAAGTCTGGTTCAGGTTGGGTCATGTCAGGTATCAGGTCAAATTCAAGTCGGATCATGTTGATTATTTTTACTTACAAGTCGGGTTGGGTCAAGTTCGATTCGGATTATGACAGACTTTATATATTTTCGGCTGCAGTTCGTGTTTGATTCGAGTCAATTATGGGTCGGGTAATGTTTTGGGTTCTGTTTGTGTCAAGTCAAGTTACAAACAAGTTTGCAGCAGGTAAATTTTGGTCGGATGAAATTCAGGTCTGGTCAGACTTGGGTCAAATTTTAGTCAGGTAGGGTAAAATCAAGTCGGATTTTAATTTCAAACTTGAGTCACGCTAAATTATTAGGTCCATACGAGTCAAAATATGAATAGGATATTTTTTCGGGTCAATTTCAAATCGGGTCAGTCGGGTTAGGTTTTGACGTCTCTAGGCTCGTGTGAAATATGAGTCATGTTTGGTTAACTAGAACACAATAACAAAACAAGAACACCTTAAGCCAGATTGGGTCAAATCGAGGTTTGATAAACTAAATAACGAATGTGGATAAATTTTAATAGATTAAACCACAGTTAGATCATACTAAGTCAATTCTTGATTAATTAAATAAATTATTTATTTTTTGTATTTTTTAAAACATTTTTAAACTTTAGCTAGCACAACAAAAATTCGCGTACGATGTTGTATTATTTATTGAATTAATAAGACTATTCGATTGACCTTGGCTAAATATATATTAGCATAATCAGATACTATACATGTATTCCTTTGTCATTGAAGACATATATGTTATTTTGCAACTTAACATTTTTTGTTATTAGGGCCGGTTCACATTTATTAAATTTAACATTTTTTGTTATTAGGGCCGGTTCACATTTATTAAATTTCAGTTCAGTTCAGCTCCAATTAGTTCAGTTCAGCTCTAATCAGTTCAGTTCAGCTCCTAATTTCGCCTCTCTCATAAAATATTCATTTCAGCTCAATTCGGTTCAGTTTAGTTCAGCTCAGCTCTAATCAGTTTAGTTCAGCTCCAATCAGTTCAGTTCAGTAAATGTGAACAGGCCCTAAAGTGATTTCAATTTTCCCATAAAAAAAAAGTGATTTCAATTAGTTTCCTTTTGAATTATTTCATTTATTTTTAAAAATATTTCATCAATATTTTAAAATTTAAACTATAAGGCAAGCTATAACTTTATAAGCTCAAAATGACACTATTTATACACTGCAATAATTATGGAACCACTAATATATGATCAGTCATATTGAGAAAGTTGAGATACACATAGTACATTTTTTATTTACCAAATATGCAAATGTATTCAAGTAAATAAGCATATTATATTTTCGGGCTAGTAAAAATTATAAATAAGAAAATATCTTAAAAATAACTATCCAACTAGTAATTTTTGTAAGTGAAAAATTACCCAATTTTTTTGTTAAAACTACCCATCTTAAAAAAGGGATTTTTTTTTGAAAGAACTAAAAAAAAAGGGATTTAAAATAAATGTAGAATTAAAAAACTGATTAAAATAATATAAATAAATTATTCTATGAATATTCAAATACATATTTGTAAAAAAAAAAATTTATACATGCTCAAAAAGTATGCCATATAATTATTTATAACAGTACAAGTATATTTTGTGGTAAAAATATCCAATTAACATAATTATAAGATTTTAACAAAATTTTGTAGGTATTGATATTTTTTGTGAAAATATCTTAAGTATAGATAAATGAAGATAAAATTTATCAAAAATAAAATAAAAAACCTAAATTACGCCTAACTTCCATAAAAAAAATAAAAAAAAGAAAAAAAAATCCCTCAATTCCTCAATTTACGCCTAACTAACTACAATATTTTTTTTTTTCCTTTTTTACCTCATTTCCCCGTTTTTTTTAGAGATTTAAAGTCCTTAATCAATGGTGATTATGATTAAAAAAACCCATCAAATACAGTTTTGGACTAATGATTATTGTACATGAACATGATACATTGCCTAAAGAATCTTATTTAACTTTAAATTATATTTGCCTAAAATAGGTACTCGTAATTAAATGTTTCAAAAAAAAAAAAAAACTCTTTGTTTGACAAGATTATTATTTAACAAAATAGTTGAACGTGAGATCCTATATTTAGGAATACAAAAGAATCAATATTAAAGCCTAGCTACTTGTCTACTTCACGTACAAAAAAAGAAATACAAAATAATATTTTGATATCCTATTATATTTTCCTTTAAATTAATTATACAAAGTCTAATAATTATCTAATAATTGAGCATTACATGTATAAGGAAATAGGGAATATCTATTTCCCTAAAAAAATGCACCTAATAAAGGATTTTTGTAAAATAATAAAATATAACAATATTATTCATCTTCAACCTATAGTCATCTTCAACCTTTAGTCATCTTCAACTTAACATTTAACAATGGCGGATTGCTATTAAAAAAATAATCGGATGAATCATGAAATTATATCAAAATCAAGCACAATATAATTTTGACTAATTAATATTGAAATAATTATTATTCGAATCTTTAAATAAATTACTTTAACTTGATTATTATTAGAACTTTGAAGTTTTTATTGACGAATTCATCTTACAAAATTAAGTGACGAAATCAAATTAAGTGATTTTTTATACAATGATACAACTAATTAAATTGATTATAATATATGAAATTAAACTAAATATAAGAATTTAATTAATTTGAATCAGAAGAATGAATGTGGTAGGTTGAACATAAAGGTTTTAGATGATACAGGTTGAAGATGAATATTTATTATTTGGAAGATATTATTCAATTTTATAAAAGAGAAAAAAAAACAAGCGTTTGAACAAATTAATTTAATCAAACAAGACTTAATGACTTGATGACTAAACTTGATGACTGTTTTTTTGAGGTGTCGAATTGATCGCCTAGGATTAGTCAATTAACAAATAAACAGTTGAGATTTAATCCCTAATTATAGTCGACCATAGTCGTCTGTAGTTGACGACTACGCTAGAATTTTTATCCTTTTTCTATATATCGTCTCACGAATTGCCAATCTAATCTCTTATCCTTTTTATTTAGTTCTCTTAATCTCTGATAAAGTTAAATGTAGAAGAGTAGAGCTACACATGAATAATTTTTTTTTTGATGTTTAGAGAGCCACAAAAGGCAGGGATGAGAATCGATC